CCAATCATTCTCATCCTTAACTCATGAAATATAAGAAGATTTCTTACAACTCTCATGAAGACACCCTATCCTAATTCCATCATCTACCTTGTTAAAAATTGTAAAAACCGCAACCATTCTCCTAAATGCTGACAGCTTGACCTTTGATCACTAAAAAGGTCATAAATGAAGCTCTAGACCTTCTTTTTGGGTTATTCTAGCGCCATTGGAAAGCTGACATCCAAGGCTACAACTTCCATGAAGACCTCAAGACCAAATTCGGTCATCTACACTCACCGCTTCAACGCTCAATTTAGCGCTTTAGCTCTAGATTTCTGCCAGCTCAGTTTTCTTTTCATGGCCATGGCTGTGAATCCACGACCATGGCTGCTAGTTTTTGCCACTCCAATTTTTCCTTAGCCATGGCTACAAGTCTCTATCACTCCATTTTTCCCCCACAGCCATGGCTGCAAAACCACAGCCATGGCTACAAGTCTCTGCCATCACGTTTTTTCCTCCCATGGCTATAGCTGTGAATCCACAGCTATGGTTGTGGATTTCTACAAGTTCATTTTTCCTCCACTGTTATAGTTGTGAATCCACGGGTATAACTGTGAGTCTCGAAATTCTCTAAAATTCCATAGATTTCACCTTCGATCCTCTCCATTTCTTCACCAATCTTCTCCCTAAACATGATCTACACCCATGATTACCACCACATTTGTTCAAGAAACTCAGAAACCACAAAAATTTGGACATGCATGCATCAACATTCGTGATATCCCATTTTTACCCAACTCATTCAAGAACACCACAACCCCAACAACATGCAACCCACCCAACTCAATTATTCAGCCTCCAAATGACATCTTAGTTGATGATCCGACTACATGCAACCCAAAATGCACAACAAATTTGAGTTCTAGCTTCCCTTACCTTGAAACAGAGTGAACGATGAGCTCCGAGCTACTCCGAGATTGAAGAAGAAGAAGAAGAAGATGGAATGGAAATCTGACTACGGGCTTCCAAAGCTCCCTAGCACACCAATTGCTCAACAACCTTGAGAATCAACAAGAAATAAAAGAAGTTTGGGAGAAGGAAAATGGGGAAAAAGAGAGAGGAGGAGAAAGAAAAGGAAAAAAAATGAGAGAGGGAGGGGGAAGGGTTTGGGGTCTCACAAAAACAAAGCTAGCTGACGAGTATTACTCAAGGATTTACAACAGTTATCTTCAAAGTTCACCTATTTAACTGAACTTGAACCTTATAAAGAACATATATTCAATTTGACTCATTTTATTCATTCTTTCTCTGTAAAACTTTGCACTTAAAAGTTTGTGACATATTGTGTATAAGATAAATTATTTGTTATTACCTAACTTAAATTATGTGTTTTAACTTAAAGCTTGTAAAGATTTTATTGTTTAAAGAATATTACTTATTGTTTAAGCTTGGAGGGACTATGTTGTTTAAAGAATACTTGAATAATTTGTTTGAAGAGAAAAATCAAATAACACTTAAATTGAGTCAAAAAGTGACTTATGAAATAATACTTTTATTTTATAAAAGATAGTAAAACTTAATTAAGTTGATAAAAAATTAGACGTAATCTAAATAGTTGAGGTAAACTACTATAAAAATACATTGTATTTTTTGCTTTACTTCATTTGGACTTCTTTAAATTTATGTGACTATTTCACTGTTTTAAAAAATGTCGAGTCTTTAATAAACACTATTTAACTCTCCTTTTAATATCTTTCTTTCCTCCACACTTACATTTTCTCATTTTTATATGATTTATTCAAGTAAATGTAATAATCATGTTTACAAAATTCAAATGAGTTTAAATATTGATAACATATTGGTTCAGACTTAAGGTGTCACATGCCCAATGTTTGAGCCATGAAGAGCAACCATTTCTCTCTAGAGTCCAGTATGGTCTCATTGGTACCACTATCGTCCTTTGTTGTTAGGGATCATGTGTCCAATGATGGCAGTCTTGTGCCATTTGCATAAACTACAAAAAATTGCATACTTTGTCATTTATGACTTTTAATCCACTCTAATTGGTCAAATAACGAATTGAAGTCCAATACCACTATTCATTACCATTAATTACTCAATCAACACACTAATTACTCAATCTCTAATTATTTTAATCAACCTTCACTTTTGCTCTATAAAGTTGGGATTCTCATTGTGCTGTAACTCTTTATAGGAATTGGGTTCAACACTCACACCAATCAATCAAGCTTCTGAAATCACAATTAATATCAAAACAAAGACATAGAAGATACATGGATAAAATTCACCTTAAACACAAGCAATCAATGGAGCTTTCAAGGTCCCCTATAATACAATATAAATCAAACAAACGAGATTGTAGAGAATCTAGCTACCCAACTCAGTGTCCTCTTTCCTATTAAAATCATATATGAAACCAATTTATCACCATATAATAATTACCTTCTTATCATCATTTCTCTTCCACTATCCTTTTATATTATTTTTTACTAGTTTTCCCCCCACTTTTCTCTATTCTCTATTTCATTATAAATTCAAATTTCACTAGTTAAACTTTCTCATGCTTTTTGATTACTGTCCACTCCATTATTTTTTTTAGACACAAGTGTCTCTTTCTCTCTCATAACAAAAACAACAATAAATTTTTTTTTTAGCTTGTAGGATAAACATTTATTTTATATAGCTATAATTTATAAAAAATAAATTCTTTTGAATAGTTCGGAATCCCCCATTCCCTTGTAACTGATAACGGCCGAAAATTCATTGCGCAGAGCTTCGAAGACTTCCTCCGGGAACTCAAAGTCAAGCACCTCCCGACCTTAGTGGAACATCCACAGACCAATGGCCAAGCTGAAGCTGCAAACAAGGTAATACTCCGAGAGCTTAAGAAACGGCTAGGAAACGCCAAAGGACAATGGGCCGATGAGCTTCCCAGCATCCTCTGGGCATACCATTGCACCCCCCAGTCAACAACGCAAGAAACGCCTTACAGGCTGACTTACGGAGCTGACGCAATGATTCCAGATGAAATCGGAGAGACATCTCACCGACGCCAGGTCTTCAACAGCGAGCAGAACGCCCAAGAATTAGCAGCTGACCTCGACTTAATTGACGAGCTCAAGGACGAAGCTCAAATCCATGAAGAAGCCTGCAAGCTCCGAGCTTCCAGAAGATACAATACGCGAGTACGACCTCGCTCTTTCCGAGTTGGCGACTTGGTATGGCGACTGTTAGGCGAAGCACGGAAAGACGCATCAGACGGAAAGCTTGCACCCAACTGGGCCCATTCTGAGTTGTAGAAGACCTAGAAAATGGGGCATACAGGCTAGAAGAACTCAGCGGCAAAGTCATTCCGCGGACTTGGAATGCCACACATCTTAAATTCTATTTCAGCTGAACTTGTAAGAATGAGCTGTGCACTCTTTTCCCGCCTCAGCTTTTTGTCCAAAAAAACAGAAAAATGGGTTTTGGTTGAGAGGGTTTTTAACGAGGCACATATATGCAATCAATAAAATAACTCATTCTTTTCCATTCATACTTTCTTAATTTTACATTATTTTACCATAAGATGGTTTATGCTGAATTCGAGGTCGAATCCGAACCTTAGCATGATCTACTTCACTTTACGCTGACGTATCTCGCTCTTAGACAAGGTCGAGTTCGAACCTTAATACGTTTCGCTTAAACCCGAGGTCGAGTTCGAACCTTAGTAAGAGTTACCTTACGTCAAATCGAGGTCGAGTTCGAACCTTAGTAAGAGTTACCTTACATCAAATCGAGGTCGAGTTTGAACCTTAGTAGGACTTATCCACTCTAAGCCGAGGTCGAGTTCGAACCTTGGCACGATCTATTTCACTCTAAAGCCAAGGTCGAGTTCGAACCTTGGTACAATTTATTCCGCTTTACGCTGAGGTCGAGTCCGAACCTTGGTACGATTTATTTCATTCTAAGCTAAAGGTCGAGTTCGAACCTCAGGACAAATTATTCACATCAGGCTAAGTTTGAGCCCCAGAAAAGCGCAAAATGCACAAGCGCAAAACACACAAGTTCAAAAATAGAAGAACTATCGAAATCTCGAAAAAAATGATATATATACAACAATTTCACGAGTTCAATACACGAATTCAAAGAAGAAAAAAAACTAAACTAAGATATTACAAAAGCAGCCTAGGCGGAGGCGTTTTCACTTGAGCTTTCCTCGAGGTCGTCCTCCTTCACCAGCTTCCCAAAGTGTACCTCCTTCTCCACATGCATGGCAGAGAGGTCGAACCCCGGTGCGAGTATAGCCTCGCCTAGCGAGCTGCCTTGAGGAATCCTCTCTTGTGCTCAAACACGACAGCCCGCTCAGTTTCCTCAAGCTTCTTCTCCAGCCCCACCTTCGCCACCTCCAGCTTCGCGAGGTCCACCTTCAAAGCGACAACCTCCTCTTCTTTCCCACCGAGAAGGACCTCGTCGCAAAGACGTTTCTCGGCCGCTGCCACCAATTCAGCCTTCTGCGAGGTGACCTCGTCCTCCAAGGCGCGCACCCGAGCTCGGGAAGAGCTGGCGAGTTCCTACAACTCACGAACCTGAGCAACGTAAGTCTCATTAGACCTCAAAGCAATCTCTAAGGACTTCTGGACTCTCTCCAGCTCCTTCCTGGTAGCCTGAAGCTCGGCCTCATTCTGCATCTTGGCGTCGCCGAGAGCAGCCACCAATGCCCTGAAAAAATATTTTTAAATATATAAATTAAATTTAAATTTATAATGAATTATTTATATGATAATACAATTTTTTTAGAATATTAAATTTAATTAAAAATTAAAAAAATGATAAAGCAAAAGATACAAAAAGTCATAAAAAGAATCTCTATGATTCTTATCGATAAAATATCTAAAAACCAGTCCCGTTGAATATTAAATATTAGATCGTGACATTTTAAATAGTTGAATTAAAATTTGTAACATTTTATAAATCAGAACAAAAACAAAGTTAATTCAACATGACATAAAACATGAGCGAGTCTTGAATCATCATCCAACGATTCCGATTGATTAACTGCACCAACGCGTTAACTCCCTCACTGCACCGAATCCTCACAGTCATGACAATCTCGCTCGTCAAAGCCAAATATCTTGGTTCTGCCGCATTTGGAGTTATTTCACATGACCACCGTTCCATTTAACCACCACCGCCACCACCACCCACGTGACCGTGGGGCCCAGGCCCAGTGGCCCACAACCAAAGCCTCCTTCTTCTCGCTTCAATCTTTCTTCGTCCATGGCTGAAGCGGAGCCTTCTCGGGTGCTCCGGAGCCTCACCCGAACCGCGGCCCAAATCACCAACCTCTCCGCCTTCAGGCCCGTCGTCAAGGCCCAATGCTGCGACCTCGCTCGCCGAATAAGGTTCCTTGCCCCGCTCTTCCACGAGCTGCAAGACGACGTCGTGTTGGCCCGCGCGGTTTCCTCTCACGCTCTCGCGTCTCTCGAAGATGCTCTCTTCAGGGCCAGGGAACTGCTCCAATTCGCCGCTTGCGGAAGCCAGGTTTTCATGGTGCGTTCCTTGAAACCACGCGCTTTGTGCAAACGGCATTGCTCGTTTGTGGTTTTGCGATGTCGTTTATTGTGAATTTGAGTTGAGTTGAGTTGAGTTTCGGGTTTGGTTATGTGGATGTTGCTTGCAATTGGACGTTGCTCGTTTTTGTTTTTGTAATGTCGTTTATTGTAAATTTGAGTTTCGTTTCCAGTTTCGTAATGTTGACGTTGCTTGCAATTGCGCATTCATGTTTGAATACAGATTTAGAAATGTTTTTGAGAGTAAAATAATTATTATTTTCGGTGGAGGAGTTCTGAAAAACACTTTTTCTTGGATCCAGACATGCTCTATGTTTTTGTAATGTCGTTTACTGTACATTTGAGTTTCGTTTCGTGTTTTGTTATGTGGATGTTGCATGCAATTGCACATTGCTCTTTGTGTTTTGGTAATGTCGTTTACTAATTTGAGTTTTTTGTGTTTTGTTTGGGATTTTGCTTGCAATTTTACATTACTCGTTTATGTTTTTGTGATGTCGTTTATTGTGCATCTGAGTTTCGTTTCGTGTTTGATTATGCTTGCGATTGCAGGTGCTGGATAGGGAACAGCTTAAGTACAAGTTCACTGATGTTGCTGTGCGTTTTGAGCATGCTATAAGCAGGATCTCAATTGACGAGCTTGATGTTTCTGAAGAAATTAAGGAGCAGGTGAATGCTTGTGATTTGTGAAGGACTTGTTTTTTTTTTTTTTTGTTTTTTTAGTATCGAGAATTTGATACTTCTATACACCAATGAGAATGATGCATTTTAGTATATATTTAGAAATAAGGTTGTCATTTCGTTTTTTCTTATACTATACTATGAACAATTGCTGATTGATAAGAATGTAAGGTCATGTTTGGGTAAATAGTTTAATGAGCCTTTTGGTCAACTTTTACTTATTTTGCATACTTGTGTCAGCTTAGGGAGAGGTTTTAAAATATAAGCTATTATCTTTTCAATAACTTGTGCTTGATTACTGATTTTGTTTGCTTACTAAGTGCTTACTCAATTTGAACTTGTAGCTTATTTGATAAGCCAAACTTATTTGAATAAGGTCCTCTTTAAATTAATTTATCCATGAATATTTATGGGAGAAAAAAATATAATGGTAAAATGAAATAAGTTTCTTCCGCAGGGTAAAACTAGTTTCTGTATAAGTTAATTTGTTGAAGTATTTTCATTTTAACTTTTCCAAAAGCTGTTTTTAACTTATGTGATGCATAAGCTTTATGGGAGCAGCTCATTTCATTTTTCTTTTTTCTTTTCTTCTCGTATAAGTGTATATGAAGAAGTTTATTCAAATAAGGCCTAAGTTGAAGAGATCTCACACAAAAGTCATGAGCCACTTTTATTAACTTAATTATATACTTGCTTAAGTGTTTATATGATAAGTCTAAATAAGCTCTGTAATAGATCTTCCAAATATACTGAAGGAAATGTTGTTTTGTTTGGTGCCTTGGTCTTCACTTGTAGTGAGTTCATTAATTTCTCATTTGTCTGTTGATTCTTGCTACGTCATTTCATTCTGTTTTAATTTTAAGGTCTTATTTTTTTTTGCTTCTGTTGTCATCTTCAGGTTGCTCTTGTGACCATTCAGTTTAGAAGAGCCAAAGAGCAGTTTGATCCACCGGGTCTTCAGCTTTATGAGCACCTGTTGTCTGTTTACAACCAGAGCTATGATGTAAATGCTGAAACTGCTGAGCTTCAGTTAATCTGTGAAAATCTACAATTTCTCAATGTGGATGACATCAAGCAAGAGTCACTCGCTCTACAAAAGATGGTTGTAGACAGGGGTGGTCATTCTCAGAAAAGCATACGGGATATGTCATTAATAGTGCTGAAAAAAATCCAAGATTTCTTGGTGATGGAATGTGGAAACAATACTGTGTCACTAAATGAGGATTTCTTTTGTCATACTAATGAGTCTTATGTGAAACTATGTTCACAATCACTGGTTATACCCGATGAGTTTCGCTGCCCAATCTCTCTAGAGCTAATGAAAGATCCTGTTATCATTTGCACAGGGCAGGTTTGTACTTAACAGCAGTTTCTTTTTTAGTTGTCTTTATTTATGATAAAAGTTTAGCAGCACTTATGACCAACTGATATATTTAGTTTATTGGTGTGTAAAGGTAGAAACCAAAGTTGCTCCTTTGATGACATATTCACATATGTTTATCGTATGGTTTTTAGTTGCTAGTTTGAGTTTCCCAAAAGGGTAACCTAGGAGTACTCTGGTTCTGCTCATTTTATATCATTATTTAATAATGTGATCCCTATGTGTTTGCAATGTAAGATTTTAAAACAGCTTTAAGTAACCAAGAACAGTGCTTTGTACAAAACTGCTAGAAGGGCAGTGGAATGGAGATCATAGCTCTTGGAAAAATATTGATGGGAAAATTCGAGCACTTTATTTAGATCAAGGAATAATGTACTCTGAGAGCTGTGACTAAAATGAACTGCAAAAAAAGAAAGAAAGAAATCTATATTTGATGATTATCTGCTATTATTTTGTATTTTATAATTGTTGTTGAAAAGCAGCTTTCATACTGTTATAGAAAATTTGTTTAGCTCTTGGCTTTATTCGTTGATTGTTATTTATTACAAACTAGTTGATAACAATACTCTTTTAAATTCCAAAAGTTTAGAGATTATGGACTAGTAAGAATGTAAGATTATTTACAATTCACCCAAGTTTAGAAACTTAATTCTGTTCTCTTGACTCTTCTTGCAGACATATGACCGATCTTGCATAAAGAAATGGCTTGAAGCAGGGCATGGAACATGTCCCAAGACTCAACAGATTCTTTCCAGCCCCATCCTCATACCCAACCATGCTTTATATGGCTTGATATCAGGTTGGTGTGAGGAAAATGGAGTGGAACCACCTAAAAGGTTAGGAAATTTATGGCTTAGTATGACAACATCAGATGGCTCTTCTGAATTAGTAGATCTCGATATCTTAGTGAGCAGACTTTCTTCCAGTGATACTGAGGATCGACAATGTGCAGCAGGTGAGCTTATTAAACAGATTTTTTCACTGCTTCTCTCTATCTCCCTACCTCCCTCCCTCTCTCTCTCTCTCTCTCTCTCTCTCATGAAAAGGTGAATGTACTTCCAATATTGTGGAAGGCAGTTCATAATTTTTATTGATTCACATCAAATTTTGTTTGGTTGATTAGTGGTAAAAATAGGTATATGGAAGGGTTATCATGTGTAGTTATTAAAAACTTAAAGACAGGAGGGATTTGCAAACAATATATTGATTATTGTGGTTTAAGGGGTAGGGTTGCTAGCTGTTTGGGTGCCATGAACTGAACATATGAAATTAGTAATTTTGGGATTGGTGGGTTTATGTCAGCTCTTTGACCAAAGTGGGTTTTCTTTTTTAAACTATTTACCAAAGTGGGACTTTTTTTCAAACTTATTCCTACTTTGGAGCAGTCAATGTTGGAAAACACAGGTCAACACTGCATTTTTCATGCCCATGTGTACAAGATGCGACACACTGCTGTGTCTTCCTTATTTATTATTAATTTTTTAAAATTGATGCAGCAAATAGCTGCATTTTCCATATTTATTTTACTTTTTTCAACCTGAATGCAGCAAGGAGCCATGTTTTCTGTTACAAGGAAGTAATGAACAAAAAATGAAAACAAAATATTATGGGTCGGGTCCTGCAAAAGCTGCTTGCTTGGCACAAAGACCATGCTTGATGTTAGAACCTCACTCAAAAAGTTGCCACGTTGAACAATCCGTATGATAAATGATCATGATATTGGAGGTGCTTAATTTAATCACTTTTCATTTTGGCAACGTGTGGAAGAAAGCTTGATGATACATTTGTCACATTCCATTCTCAACTCCCTTCCGACTGCATACACATTTCCGCATACTCATTTATTTTTGTTCATTACTGCCTTGTATGAAAATGCAGCTCTTTGCTGTTCAAGGTTATAAATAATAAGGAAGACACTGCATTGTGCTATGTCTTGTACACGTGGGCAACACCTGTCTTCCTCGTGTACGCCATGTGGAAAATGCAGCAAGCCGTTGCATCTTCAGTTGACGCCTTGTCAGCCTGTGACTGTCTTTCACATGATGTACATGTGGAAGACATGTCTTTTTTTATGTTAAAAAAACACATGGCATAAAAAATGCAGCAGTGACCTGCATTTTCCAGCATTGACTTTGGTAAATAGTTTCAAGAACTCTACTTTGGTCAAAGACTCATTTAGGTCAAATTTGCAGGGTTAAGTCAACTAAAGTTTGAGGGGACAATTTTTGGATAATGCATATCTAATGAAATTTGATCTTTGATGTTTGTAAAAGATAAACTTGATGAAAACATGAAGTAGGAGATAAGATAAAAATAATCCATGAAATCAAAGCTAGAATCATAGGATTTGCATGTAGGCTAAGAGTTTGATTGAAACAAACAATCAATAGGATTGCCTCATGCTCTTATTCCTTCCTTGAGAAAAGAATTACGTCTTAAAACTGACCTATAATTTATTCTGCATTAAATAGGAAAAGTTGAATAAGTCATAATTCTTTTTGGACTGACTCTACTACCATTGAAGCTATAAAGGAAATATTAAATTTCATAAAATACCCTGAGGACTGGAAGCTTAGTATATTAAAATATGGCTTACTGCACTCTAAAAAAGGAAATGGTTTGATATGGAGGAGCATAACTGCCTACAAGATTGATTGCCCATCAATTATGTGAAAAGCAATGCCACCCTTTTGAGATATATTGTCACTTCAAAAAAGAATATGTTTAAACTCAAAATCATAAAACTATAAGAGCATCAATTTTTTTTTTCACAAATAAAGAATTATGTAATATAAGAATAACTCACATGATACTTGTTAGTGTTATTGCATGGTAGAGTAGCAAGGAAGATCATAACCTTGACTTTCACATTGGCTATCACCTTGTGTAACTTCTTGTCTAAAGGCTTAATAAGGATCATGATAATTTATATATGATTGGTGGTACGGTAGAGCCTGGTCACTTGTATATTGATTATATGCATTGAAATAATGATACTGATAAACTATTGGTGGATAGTACCCTAACTACTTTGAGAAGTAATATCAATATTGAAATCACTAAAACTTTGTGTAATATGAAGAAGAATCTTCAAAGTTATACATTTTGTTTCTTTTTCCCTTTTCCAACTTGTGAACTGCCTCTTCTATTATCGAGAAATGAGTGATCAAAAGGAACCATTTTTGTGGCATGAAAGTAGTAAAATTAATTACTAGATATTTGTGTCATGCTTGTTATATGACATCTCTTGGTATAGATTATTCTGTCTTTGTTCATTCTCATTATCCTCATCATCATTACCACTATCTCCACCTCCTACATCTTTATTGTTTGTATCAATTCGAGGCAATCATTATGAATTTTGTACTCCATCTAGAAATGAATTTCTCTTTCTTCTGTCCATGTAGATAATTGATTATCTTCTTGAAATATGTAGTCAAGATTAACTAGGTTGAAACGTGCTTCAATTTCTTCTTGACTAATTCTTATTTGATACCTCATTTTTCAACTTTATATTTTAATATGTAGATAAAATTTTGTAACTTTTTATACTTGAGTCTGTTCCTTGTCTTTGTATGAATGTAACTAAATGTGTTCCAGTTTCTCTAACAATTTGTGGTTGAAGTCGTTTGACTTAACTTTAATAGAAAGTTTGTGAGCATGAACAAAACATCGACTACTATTCAACTTTTTAAACGAACAAGAAAGATAAATATTTTATTTTTTATATAAAGTAATTAAAAATAATATACATTTATTTATTGAGAAAGGAAGAAATAACATTTTCTTGAATTTATTTTGAACCAAGATCTTTGAGCTTGAGGTGTAGCAAATGTTTGATCCACATCTTTAAACAACACCAACTATATAGCATTATGTAAGATGTCAATATGTAGATATATAATAATGGCTTAAATATATTTTTAGTCCCTCAAATTTAGGGTAAATTTGTTTTTGGCCCCTCAATTTTAAAATTGTTGTTTTTAGTCCTTGTAATTTCAAAAATATTTATTTTAATCCTTATATTCAAATTTTGTTAAGAAATTTATCAAATATTATTGCATAAAATCTACTTATTGGTATCCCTATTAGTGAAAATATCACATTAAATCTAGTTGATATTGCATAACTGTCTTAATTAGTCACTTTCAAATATGTTATTGGTAACATAAGGGACTAAAATAAGAGTTTTGAAAATTACAGGGACTAAAAATAACGGTTTTAAATTTGAGGGACCAAAAACAAATTTGTTTTAAATTTGAGAGACTAAAAACATATTTAAGCCTATAATAATCATTTTGAGATCAAAATATAGTTATTTATTACTAATTGAGTTCAAGGCTTTAATTTTTTTTTTTTTTAATTTTTGTGAATGTTCAAGGCTTTAATTTGATCATCCATATTTCTCTCCAATTTCATAGTGTGACCTTTTGGGTCCATTCAAATGTCTCTTAATATACATAAAATCCATTGTCTCTTGATGTATATCAACAATATTAATTTCACTACTTATGGTTCCTTTTGATTGTTCATTTTCTCTAGATATATATCTAGAGACAACAAATCTTATGTATATCAAGACATTTAAAGGGATCAAAAAGGTAATTATGAAATTGGAGAGAAATATGGATTCAATCAAATTAAAGCCTTAAACTCAGTTAATAATAAAGAACTTTATTTTGATCTTATAAATTATTATTATTTTTATTATATATCTACATATTGACATCTTATATAATGTTATATAGTTGATGTTGTTTAAAGATGAGTGATGCATTTGTTACACCTCAATCTCAAAGAACTTGGTCTAAAATGAACCCAAGTAAATATTGTTTCTTCCTTTCTCAATAAATAAATGTACTTTTTTTTAAAACTAATAAATTTTTATTTTGCTTGTACATTTAAAAGCTGACTGGTGTTTGATGATTGGTTCATGCTTTTCTAAATTTCAACGCATGACTATTAAAGTTTTGAGTCAAACAACTTCAGCCACATATTGTGAGAAATAGAAACAGATTTAGCTACATCCATACAAAGACAAGGAATAAACTAAATAGGAAGTTACATAAACTTGTTTTCACACATTATAATATGAAGTTGAAAATAAGGTATCAAATAACAAAAAATCTAGAAGAAATTGAATTAAGTTTCGATCCAATTAATCTTGACTACATATTTCGAGAAGATGATCAATATTCTTCATGAATCGAAGAAAGAAAAACTCCATTTCTAGATGGGGTACAAAATTCAAAATGTTTACCATAAATTGATAAAGATGTGGAAGATGAGCATAGCGGTGATGATGGAGGTGGCTTAAGCCCACCAACTAATAATAGTGGTGATGTTGGTAATGAGACGAAAGTTGAAGAAAATGTTGATGAGGATGAACAAAGACAAATGATCGATATTAAGAGATGCCATATAATAGGCATGACAGAAATCTAGTAATTGATTTCACTATTCTTATACTAGATATGTCTCCTTCTGATAGTTCTTTCCAAGTAATAGAAGAGGCGGTTCATAGATTGGGAGAGGGAAAAAGAATCAAGATGTGTCACATGAAAATTCTTCCCCTCATATTGCACAAAGTTTTAGTGACTTAAATATTAATGATTCTTCTTAAAGTAGTTTGGGATACTATTCACCACTAGTTTATCAATGTCATTATTTCAATGCATACAATCAATATACAAGTGATTAAGTTTCTTCATACCACCAATCATGATCCTTATTATCAAAAACAAAGTGGTGAATTTTTTTGATTATGTGTTTCGATGTCTTTTGACAAGGAGCTACTCAAGGTGATAGCCAAAGTGAAGGTTATGATCTTCCTCACCACTCTAACATGTGGTATCAAGTGAGTTATACTTCTATTAAATATAATTCTTTATTTGTGAAAAAAAAACTTGATGCTCTTTAATTTTGCAATATTAATTGAGTTTTTATCATATTTTTCTTTCCATTGACAATATATCTCTAAAGGGTGGAATTGCATTTTAGATAATTGATAGACAATCAAACTTGCAGGTCATTATGTTCCTCTATGTTTGGCCATTTTCTTTTTTCATATCTATTTGAGATTTGTTTAGATTTATATACCTTTATATTTCTTACTTATGTTAATAAGACAATCTATTCTAAATTTATGTGACCAGTTATTTTTGGGTTTTTCTTGCTTTTTAAATTTGTTCTTTGGTCTTTGGACCTTTATTTTTACTATAAATCTATTCTAAATTATTCACTAAAATGATACAAAATTTTTAAAATGTATATAACCTTATAAACAAAAGATATACCAATAATTATAGTTTTTTTTTTAATTTTTTAATTTTATTTTGTGCAAATATTTAATAATTTCATGCCATAACGATTGTAATCCGCATTGCAGTAGCTTCAATGCTTGCAACCGCAGCTGCAATTTAGAACCATCTGTTGCTTTAAAGTATGGTAGTGAAAATAATCCACATGTTTCAAAAGAGCTACTAAAATGGTAAAAGTAAATGAAGGATAAAGAAGTAATGGGTTATAATACAAAACCAAGTTTTTAGTAAAATCACATAGGTTACAGGAAGATATTTTTCAGTGGTTTCTCGTAATGTCTTCTTGTGTCTTCCTTTACCCTTACACGTTGGACCATCATCCATTTCATCTGCTCTTTTCCATCTCATTGGAGCCTCCATTGATCTGTATCTCTCGCACCGCCTTAGGCAAGTTTCCATTTTCTTCTTCACAGTAGGTATTAGTCCAACTTTCTATTGGATAAATTTGTTCCTGATCTTTTCTTTTTTGTATTTCCACTTATTACTTCGGTATTCTTATCTTCAATACACTAATTATTTTGCACTAGTTGGCACTCCATTACCCAAAATTCACTACTGCACCACTGGTCCTATAGCTGTCTGGTACAATTTTCTGTTGAGTTTTATCAGCGGTTAGGAACTTTATGATCATGAAACCGTATTGATTCCTTGATATGCTGGTATACATGTTAATCTACCGTCGTTTACTTTTTCCATTGTTTCATAATGTGGGTCACAACACAAGTTTGGCTTCTCGGTAGTTTGCAAAATTTTGTAATTATCTGTCTTTGGTACCAAAGTTCTCTTTGATAGTGGTATCATTTTACATTTTCTCAGGCCCCACTATTCCATTGAATAACTTTCAATTTTTACACATCTTCCTTAAAGCATTTCCATGCTTTGATTGTGTCAATTGTTATATTGTCTGACTATACTTCTGTTCTCATCTTCTTTACTGCTTCATTTACCTGAAGTTCTCTAATTTTGTGTGATGAAAGGTTTAATTTCAATAACCCTTTCTGGTGCTAAAACTACCCAAAATCCATTCTTGTATGTTCCTTGTTTAATAAACTATAGAAATAACTTTTCTACTTTCCCTTGATATCCTGCTTAGTTAATAAAACTTTTCCATCTTTGTTCTTGTATTTTTCTCTTCCATTGGCATGTTTGTATATTTGTGCCTCCTCATTTTCTCTATAGTTTCCTGTGTTTTTAGCTCTTCAAAGAACAATTATTTGTGCGTGGGGAGGATTATTTTGTTTAAAGAGAATTTATCTTCTTTTGTTGATAATCGTCATTTGATGATAGAATGTACCATTCTCCAACTTGCTAAGCTAATCACCATAGTTCCTAGTATGATGGCACCTACAATTGGTGGCCTAGTGAACTCTATGGTAGGTTTAAAATGCATAGACAGAATCTATGTTAGATTAATTATGATGTGGGGGGAGAAGGGATGGGGGAGGGGTGCCGGATAAAAATGTAGGGTGAGAGGATGTTCTTCCTTTTTAAGGTCTATATGCCAATGAGGTTTAGCAGTCAAACCCAAAACCCTTTTGTCTATGCAGATCAATCCTAGAAATGAAGGGATCTTAAATTTGTTTTTATAGGAATTTTCCTCTGCCTTTTAACATTGTTTTAATTTGAGAACAATGCTTATTTCAGGATCTCTCAAATCCCCACCCTTGTATTTCCTAATGATGTTATATGTTGATAGACTTCCTTTATCCTTGTTTTACTGCATGGATGTATTTCCTATGTTATATGTTGATCTTGTTTTACTGCAGGGGAGCTCCGACTTCTTGCCAAGCAAAATGGTCAAAATCGAATTCTGATTGCTGAAGCTGGTGCCATTCCCCACCTTGTTGCTCTCCTCTATGCAGCTGATGCTGGCACCCAAGAGCATGCAGTTACTGCTCTTCTGAACTTGTCTATCTTTGCAGATAATAAAGAGCGCATCATGGCTTCTTCGGCTGTGCCAGGCATCCTCTACGTGCTAGAAAATGGTAGTATGGAAGCTCGGGAAAATGCAGCAGCCACCTTTTTCAGCCTCTCTGGGGTGGATGAGAACAGAGCGGCAATTGGTGCATCTGGAGCAATCCAGGCATTAGTTACTCTATTCTGTGAGGGAAGTCAAAGGGGGAAGGTGGATGCAGCAAAAGCGCTATTCAATCTATGTTTATCTCAAGGGAACAAAGGACGGGCAATTAGGGCTGGTATTGTGCCTAAGTTGATAGAAATGCTAACAGAACCTGCTGGGGAGATGAGGGACGAGGCATTGGCAATAATGGCTGTAGTAGTTAGCCATCCTGATGGAAAAGCAGCAATTGGATCTATGAATGTTGTGTCCACTTTGGTGGAATTAATTAGTAATGGACCTCCTAGGAACAAAGAAAATGCAACTTCAGTGTTGGTGCTCCTCTGTAACGGAGATCCTCTACTATTGTCAATTGTCAGTTCACTTGGGGTGATTAATCCTCTCTTGGACCTGGCAGAAAATGGTTCAGAAAGGGCTAAGCGGAAAGCTGCCCAACTACTTGAGTTGATAGGAAACCATTGTGAATATACTAGGAAAACTGCCAACTAGATTTTAGGTGCATCTGTTGCTATTTTAAGTTACAGCAGCTGGCATAGATAGTGATTAAAGATGATATATACAATAGGTTACTAGTATAGGATCCCCAATATTTCCTTCTCATTTTTTGTTTAGAGGAAATTTCCATTTAGTTGAATTGAATCACTTGTGTTGCAAAGCTGTCGAGTATTAAGGTGGCTGTTCAACACACAGTTGAAGTACAGATATTTGTTATCAGAAGAACAAAAATTGTGTACATTTTCATCTCAAACTTCGACCGGCATTTCTTTTTTGCAATGAAATGTCTTTAACAGTTGCTTAGCCTCACTTGTGATCAAGATTCTTGTCTTTCGGTGGTGAGTCTCAATCACATATCTTGGAAATAAGACTGAAAATATTATATTATGTTTACCTTTGTGGGAGTGCAAGTTTTTTTTATGCAGGTCATCTCAGGAAAGAGACAGGTCTCGATGTCGATTTCCACAAAGATATACTAAAATCATTGTTGATAATGGGGGCATGGTTACGTGATTCATTATTCCTGGTTAAGATTCCCGAATAACACTCTTTCATCTTTTGTTTTGCTGATGCCATTATTCTTGCAAAAATGTATTTAAGAAAAAAGGGCCACGATGTTGAAATTGCAAAAAGGCAGCTATTGCGTAATGTTAAGCAACACTTTCATATTTGCGATGCTTGGGACCGTGATGGATCTTTGTGTACTAAACATTATCATGAAAAACAGTAAACCATGTGCGAGAGAGATTGTGAAAACCAGGTCAAGGGTAAACAAGGGTTGCCACGTTATAAAGGTTACGTAGTGTTACAAAGATGAATCAGCATAATGCAGAAAGAGACACATTGCCACTACAGCGAGTGGGAATCAGGAAGACAATAACTCGATAGGAACGGATTCAAACATGATTAGTTTGCCAAATTTGCATCTGAAACTAATTTCATTTTCCACTTTGCATGCACGATCTCACTAATATACCCATCACTCTACCATTTTCATGGCTTTTTGGTTTTGGATTTTGATCAAAACCCACTTCAAGGAACGCGTGACAAGCCTCCTACTAAAGTTTTCCCTTTTTTTATTACGTCATCACATTTAAAATGAGAAATTATAATTGCCATTTAAAATTAGGGGGTGATGTTTATCAATCGAAAAGGTATTTTTTGATAATAAACACAAATAAAAAATATGGGATAGTAAGACAGTGCTTTTTCTTAATAGGCTGAATAGGTGGTTACGATTCTACTTTTATGTCTTAATTATGAGAATGTTTTTATAATCATATTATTACTGATCCGCAACTAGGTTTAAGGTAGTATTTATCTAGTTTTTTTTAAATAAAAAATAAGTTAGGTGGAACACAATGTCAAAAAAACCTTAAAAAATAATTTTTAATTCAAAAAGCGGAAAAAATAGAGCTATTGCAAGAGTTAAGAAAATGAGATGTCACTTTTAGAAAGAGAAAGAAAACAAAAAATTATGCCAAATATTACCTTTAAAGTTGAACATAGAAGCGTATAACATATCCTCATCTTTGAAGCTGATTGTCCTAGCTTCCACAGCACTCTTTTTTTCTCAACCTATATAGTTTCCTATGAAATAGTGGCCTAACTTTTAATATTCATTTACATACTTTTTAATTAGGAAATAAAAGCATGTAAAAAGTGACAAGAATAAAATCTAATAATTTGTTTTTATCATTGTCTGCATTTATGGATAAATTTCATTCTTTTCCAGACTTCTTTGGTTGATTATCTTTTTGTTTTTCCACGTAAAGGTCTAAAGTTAAAAAATAAAATAAAATAACGAAATGTGTTCGTTGCATTGTCCGTTTTTATCGTCCATTTATAATAGAAAAGGTGAAAAGATATATTAACCGAGACTCTTGGATGTAGTAAAACAACTATTTGCTTCAAATTGGGAGAAAAAAGAAACTGCTTGCTTCACAACTTTTACGGATTCAATGCAATTAAAATGATATTTTAATTGAGTTTTTTTTTTTCACCCTAAAAAATATTCTAATTGAGAGAAGATAATTAAAATTCATTTGGAAACTTATTATATCTCAAAAGTACTCACCTAAATTAATGTTTGAAAATTTGTAATTGACATTCCAAAAAAGAAAAAGAAATACTATGCAAAATTTCATCTTTTTAATTGCTATATTTTGTTGGTGTTTTTTTTTTAATTATTTTTTTTTATCTAATAGGCTATATTTTGTTGAAGTTGATGTCTTCAAAACATTCCATCGCATGACCAAGTCTACTTGTCTCAAATTTGCATCAATATTACTTGCTATGCTTGACATGCAAAACTCCACACTATTCTAAATACATAAAGAAGAAGAAACAAAATGTCATCCAACATTTCATGGTGTGGCGAGTCTACTTGATTGCCTCAAATTTGCATTAGCATTACTATTAACACATGATGTAATTAAAGTTAGAAAACTTCACAACCTTAAGTTTTTAAACCCTCATCCATGGTTCAAAACATGAAACATTGATGTTAAATGTTGTTAATATTTTTCCTTTTCTTCTCAGTGTTTATATCATTTGGATTCAGTGATGGATTCAAGCTCCCCTCCCCCCGACTTTGAAAAAAAAAATAATTATCATTCTAAATATAATTATATTGAAAATTTGTTTAAAAATTAAAATATATTTTATAAATTTTTGATGATTTATGATTTAAAAGAATGATATTCACATGTTAGATAAATAATCTAATATATTTAAAATTAACAATCAAGAACTAATGTAGAATGTCCTATTCTACATCAGGTAAACAACAATTGATGTAAAAAAGTTGGACATTATTTCAATGCCTACTTTTCTATATCAATTGTAGAACATCCGATGTAAAATCATATTGTCAAAAGTCATTTTTGCACTAGTGTTGGGGTGTGGATGCTATTTAGGGTGTGCAATTGTTATTGGCATTAGGGAGGAGAATCATGAGTGAAAATGGGGGACCCATGTAAATGAAATAAAATTGTGAGGGGTGAGCGAAAGTTTTAGAATGGAGGGGGAAGGGGGTATTTGTGAATGTGGGTATGGGGGCCTAGGTGAGCAGAAATTTTAGGGTGGGAAAGGACTGGTTGTGCATGTGGGTTGAGAGGGAAGGGGGAAAAGTTATGAAATTAGAAATGTGGAGAAAAGACATACATTAGAAGCGGAGTTGAATAGTATTAATCAAAAACTCAAAACTTTTTCGAAAAAGTGAAGTAATATCAAGACTTTAAGAGTGTAAACAAAGATTTAAGTAAGAAGGACATACAATATTTTTATACTGATTTGTCTCAACCATTAAGATTATGTTTAGATCTTGATCAACTTGATTAAGTTCTATACTATCTTTTACAAAGATACAAGTATTCTTTCACAAGGCACTTTTGGCTCACTTTAAGTATTCTTTGACTTGTCTTTTCAAACAACTACCTAAGTATTCTTTCAACATAAAGCCTCTCCAAATTTCAACAATCAAATATTTTTTTTTATAATCAAGCCTCTTCAAGTTCAAAGTAATAACACAAAGTTAAAGATGAAAAATAATAATGTTATTTCGTCTTACTACTAAGACATGATACAATCAATTAAGTATAATTTTTTTTTATAGAAATAATGAATATACCTTTTTACAACAATTATGTCTACTCTTTCTAAGTTTTCAAGCTTCTTTATATAATAGTGAGGTAAATTACCCCAAAATTGACTTCCATTTATTTCTATAATAATGAATATTAATATTTTAATAAAATATATTTTAAGTATATTTTTTCAACATTCATCATACATTAATCACAAAATTTATTTTTGAATGTTACCTTTCGTAAATAGATACATACAAATTGGTTCAACCATTGGATTACGAACAAAAGCATTTGACTCCACATCATATCAAACAATACACAATCATCTATTTCATCTTCATTTGATTCATCGGAGCTTTGATATGACAATCACTAGTAGAAAAATAGTCTTTTACGTCACTATTTTCTCGTCGGTCTAAACAAAAACCGACGTAAAAAAATTGCGGTGGCATTTTTGTAATATTTTTGAACTTTTTTACGTCGGACTTAATAAGGTCCAACGTAAAATGTAGAATCTACGTCGGAACTACCTAATATCCGACGTAAATTTTACATTTTACGTCGGACTTTATTATACCCGACGTAAAAAAGTTCCTATATTAAAATGTAGGCCAAGAGGCTTTCCAAGAAAGCTCCTTCTTTGCTTTTCTGCAGATCTCATTGTGGACATGTAGAGATAGACACCTTCTTTGCTCTCTAGACAGATTCGTGAAACATCCATTTACGCCATGGAAGTTTCATTGCTGAAACAGGGCTTGAAGCCTTTGAAAAATTTTGCAGATCTGTGCCTTTTGGAGCTCCACTCCTCCTTTTGCTTGCGGCGCGGCTTTGGCTTCCACCACGACGACGACGGCGAGTCAAATGCTTATGTTTGTGAGAACGGTATGTTTGCAAGTTCCCTTTTATATATATTTTTCATTTCATTTTCCCTGTCTACTTTCCATCTTCACTACTACTTGTTCTTTTCTTCAATAGCATGTTGGCGTGGAGCTGGGTTTGCACCCTCTTGTTTCTTCACAGGTAGAAAATGCTTTGCGCTGGGTGGATCTGCAGTAGAACGGGCCGTTCTCCAAGCAGAACGGCGCGTTCTCCTTGCAGAACGGCGCGTTCTCCTTGCAGAACGGCTCGTTCTGCTTGCACTCAAAATTTTTTTTTTAAATTTTTTATAACTTTTTTACGTCGGACCTTGGCATGTCCGACGTAAATTTACGTCAGTTTTCGCGCCCTGACATAAATTTATGTCTACCGCTTCAACGTCGGAAGTTTTTCTGACGTAAAAACCCCCAAAATGGTCGACGAAAAAGTGTATTATGTACTAGTGAATGAATCATGATAGTCTTTATCATCCTTGTCATCTTCATCTTTATCTCTTGATATCAATGGTGACTGTTGAAATTATTGCCGAATTGTTGGATGAATTGACAAACTTTGTAAAATCTTTCATCCCTATTTCAACATATAATTCCATTATTGACATAGCATTTGGACTATGGAATGCTTCTATCATGCATTGTATATCATCATTATTTCTCAATTCCAACGAAGAATATATGTTGCCTTGATGGCGTGGAACTAAAAATATGTAAGTTATAGATGATACTACTTGATCTGGTTGAAGAGAAAATTTTTTGTGAATCTTTTTCTTTAAACATCCAAAGTTAAACCATGTTTTTAATACATATTCCTTTCTTTAGCCCATCAAATGTAACACCT